ATTAGGTTATGTTGTGGTGATTCTCGGGTTGGGGGATGGGTGTTCATACTGGAGTGCAAAATTAGGGAGTGCTCGCCCAGGGCGCCAAACAGGCTAGGACCGCCACTGCACACAGGTCCTCATTACTGGTAAATTAAAATCTCCTTGAATGCACCAAACCACCTACCCACAGCTGCACTAGTAGTTTTACAATCTAAAACAATAAGTATTGTCTCAGCAAGCCGTTCTTGAGTTTTATGTGAAAGTTGCCCTTCATCAATCTGAATCACAATGGCTTTTCATTAATCTTAAGATTCATGACTGAGGTGCACTTTTCTTATCTTGTGATTATTGCAGTTAATCAGTGTTAGAAGCAGCAGAATGATTTTACTACTTCTTACCGAGCATGCTGGGCTCTCCTTCCAGCAGCGACAGTATATATTTGTTCAGAAACAAGGTGCAGAAGCTGAAGAAGTACCAGAGACCCAGATAGGTCATGGAGCGCCAGTTGGACACCCCGGACTCTGCCTCGATCACCGTAGTCTCCGTTACCGTGATCTTCAGCACCTGCTCCCCCGGGAGGCTCTCACTGCGGGTCAGCACCACTCGCTCCTGGCGGCTACGTAACGGCGACAAGAGGCACCAGAGTGGCTGCTTGCTGCCCGGCATTATTCCTGCTGCCTGAGGGCCCCCCGCGGGCCCCACCAAAAGGGGGACTCTTAATGTGGCTCAGTTTTTTAGGGTTTGTTTGCTTGTTTGTTCTTTGGTTCTTAGTCCATCCTCTGAAATGTCCAGCAAGCTACCTCTCAGTCTTGCTGTGACTATTGGAAATCACTTCCTGTTTTGGTGTTTCCTTACTAGTCCTCTGCTGCAGATACTGGGGGGGAGGAAAGATCACAGGGAAGGGAAAAAAATCTTTAAATAAATCACCCTGCTCTGTAATGCTGTGCCCTACTTTAAAAACCAAACAAAGCACATTTATCCCACACTGCTCCAATAGTTTACATAGAAACACAAGTGCACAGTGAAATTACTTCATAAACTGTTCAACACGGTAAGCTGTGTTATGTTACATAAAGGCAATTCACTGCATATAACGCGTATCTACTGTATCCTCCGTTGATGAAAACATGAATATAATCAGCTTGTTATGTTATTAATTTTTGCACGACTAACCTTCAGCGTTAAAGTCCTGCAAGTGAAAGGAGCAGCTGTACATGTGGCTAGGACTAGGACGGAGGACAGACGGTGAATGAAACCAGATCAAAGTTCACTTAAACCGATGATAACACTGACTTACAGCGAGGCTTCAAGGACCGCCAACGACACACAAACAAGGTTGACACGTACAAGGTTGGGGGTGGCTACTAGCTTCTTCCCGCAGAAACTCGCAGTGACGAGATAAAACTACTCAAAAATATCACGTCACGAGGAAGACCCAGCTCTTACCTCTCTCTGTAACCTGACTGCCTAGGCTTGTACAGACAAATACTGAGAAGACAGTGGTTCAGCGAGGCAACGGACCTATCACAGGAGGAAGTTTAGGTTAGCTAGCAGCCGTTGCTGGTTGTTGTTGCTGCTGCACTGAATATAACAAGGCGGCGTCACCCACAGAGGACGCTGCGCTCTCATCCACACCGGACAACACCCACATCGCAACACCCTTCCCGCTGTTAAAGAGAATTTACCTTTGTTTCTAGGTTACGTACAGTTGTGCACCTGGCTTCGAAACATGGTTGCTAACAATGCGCATGCGTCAAGTAACATCGAAAGAGCCACAGATCAGAAGTTTCAAAATAAAATCTCCAGCGGCGAATGCAGCGGTCTTCCAGAGGGTCAGGAGTTCAAGTTTGTCTCATTATAAATATCTCTCTAAACGTCTTTTTCAAACTTATTTATAGTCTTTAAAAAATCCTGGCTTTTTCTGGAGAAAAAATTAATTAATTAATTAAATTGTGCTTTTAATTTCATACTGCCATCAGCGTGTTTCCGGTGGGGCTCACGTCACACTTGACACTTGTCAAAACATTATGCATTCTCTCAGCTTTCCGTCGGCACAAGAGGAATGACTTCTGCAACAGCACACGTGGTGAAGTTTGTAAAATGTTGAGAACAACATATTTTTTAATCTAATTTCATTGGTGACTATTAATACAGACGTATTAATAACCAAATAAACAATAAACAAATAACGCCTAGCACTGTTACCAAGATGGCTAACAATAAAGACAGAGAAATCGGCATATTTAGAAATAAACAGTGTGTGGGAAACAAATGTGTGGTGTCAACATAAAGAAATTTCCATATAAAGAGGTAAAATATCAAGTCACATTTGACCCTGACCTCTCATTCAAGCTCAAATAAGGTCAAACTTTCAGAAAATGCCTTTTATCTTTAAAACTGTACTTGAAATTCTGCTGCCTTTGATTTTAATGACAACATTATATTTGACATCCAAATATCATGTTACATTTGACCGCTCACCTTTATATTACACATCTGCCTTTCTTTCAAGTTCAACCCAAAATGTGTTTTACCTTTGAAGGAATTATTCCCAAGAAAAATAATGAGCTGCCCAGTTTGTTAAAAATATACTATAGTATAACATTACACAATAAGATATTTATTTCCATTTATTTACAAATCAATATCTATTGCCCATTACCTACTCCTCCATAATGTCTGTAATCAAAGTAAACATCTGTCATGCTACTGTAAAGTAAATACTGCACAGAGAGTGCGCTCCATTAGCGGATGTTTGTGCTCTCAAAGTGCTTTTTGTCATGAATGGATTCTTATATATGGTGTTTACAGCTTTAATATCAGACCTGGAGATGACTTCAACTACTTACCGTAATTAATGGATATCAGCATATCACATAAGTAGATTTATATTTTAACACACGTGGCTGTGGTAAGATCAGTAGTACTCTAGCCCAGTGGCATGTGTAGTTTTCATAGTTTTTGTGGTTTTGGTGGTTTTTAGCTTAGAACTGAATGAGCTGATGGGTTGGAGCTGACAAACAGGATATGGTAACCAACATGAAACCATGAACCCCACCTTGTTCATTCAAACAGTCCAGGTTGTTGGTGATGTAAAAGTGAGGGAAACCTTTTCTTGCACACACTAGGCCACTCCAGTGAATCATGAGTTAGAGGTCGTAGTCTCTTGCTGGATGTGCTTACCAGTTCATCATTACTTTAAGAACTGACGATCAGTCAGTCCAGAAAATTACTAAAACTTTGAATGTGTCCCCAAGTGTAGTCAACCATCAAGCCCTACAATGAAACTGGCTCACATGAGGACCGCCCCAGGAAAGGAAGACCAAGAGTCACCTCCGCTGCTGAGGATAAATTCATCTGAGTCACCAGCCTTAGAAAAATCGCATGTTAACAGCACCTCAGATTTAGAGCCCAGATAAATGCCACACATAGTCAGAGTAGAGACACATCTCTACATCCACTGTTCAGAGGAGACTGCACGAATCAGGCCTTTATGGTCAAATAGCTGCTAAGAAACCACTACTAATTCCCTTTCATGCTCCTGCACTAATTGAAGGGTGTTTCTCACAAAGTGCAAGGCAATATGTCTGTGAAGGTCCTCAGTCATTCAGGTCACTGTAGTCTAAGGAGCTTGGAAAGAAAAGTGTCTGGACTTCTTTGAGTTTCCTTGAAAATGTTTCACCTCTCATACGAGAAACGTCTTCAGTTCTAAGAGCAATTGATGGAGAGTCCAAGATTTTTAAATCCTATTGGGAGTGTCTCTAAGAAGGTCATGGACCCCTGATTGATCCTATGTCTAATCACATGAGCGAAGGTGTGAAAATGGGTGTGGGTCACAATCAGCCAAGGTTTTGGGTGAAACCTAGCCCCACCCTATCATATTATTTACTTAGGTCAAATGGCCCAGGATGTGAGTGGGTGTTAAAGCGTCTGGCGAGGGATCTCAAATCTGGATTATAGATGGCAGACAGTTGGTGCTGTAAGCCACCCCCTCTGTTCAAAGATGGTCGCTCACAATGGCCATTCACATCTGTGTTCTCTGTCCAAAATGTGAACATTGGCATCTTGACAGGGCAAGACTTAGACTAAGTCTTAGAAAACCACTTCTAATTAAAAGCAACAAGCAGAAGAGATTTGTGTGGGCTGAAAAACACAAGGAATGGACATTAGACCAGTGGAAATCTGTGCTTTGGTCTGATGAGTCCAAATTTGATATCTCTGGTTCCACCTGCCATGTCTTTGTGCAACACAAAAAAGGTGAACAGTTGGTCTCTACATGCATGGTTCCCACCGTGAAGCATGGAGGAGGAGGTGTGGGGGTGCTTTGTTGGTGGCACTGTTGTGGATTTATTCAAAATCGAAGGCACACTGCAGCGGTATGCCACCCCATCACATTTTGTGTTTAGTTGGACCATCATTTATTTTTCAACAGGACAATGACCCCAAACACACCTCCAGGTTCTGTAAGGGCTATTTGACCAAGAATGAGAGTGATGGAGTGCTGTGCCAGATCTCCTGGCCTCCTCAGTCACCTGATCTAAACCCTGTCGAGATGGTTTGGGATGAGAAGAACCGCAGAGTGAAGGCAAAAGGGCCAACAGGTGCCCAGCATCTCTGGGAACTCCTCCAAGACTGTTGGAAAACCATTTCAGGTGACAACCTCATGAGGCTCATCGAGAGAATGGCAAAGCAGTAATCAAAGCAAAGGGTGGCTATTTTGAAGAATCTAAAATATAAAACATGTTTTGAGTTATTTTGCACTTTTTTGTTTACTACATAATTCTAAATATGTCCATTCATAGTTTTGATGCCTTCAATAAGAATGTGCAATGTAAAAATAAAGAAAAAGCATTTAATGAGAAGATGTATCCAAGCTTTTGACTAGCAGAGTATATAAATTATTAAAATATATATTTAATTCATAAAATAAAAATGTGAATATCAATCTGTGCAAGCCTCTTTGTGGTCCACGAGGGGGCAGCAGCACTTTCGCGCTGCAACAAATGAAGCAGTAGAAGAAGAATTTAGCCAGGCTACTGTTCCCGTTGTTTACATTGCAAAATGTGAAACTGAAGTTGTGTGGGCTGGAGGTGGAGACGAACTGAAAAGGTTTCGGGAATGTAAGCTGCTGCGCTGTAGTCCGCCAGGAAATGGACGAGATAAGGTGAGCAGCTTAATTCGTGCATTTAACTGTAAAAGTTACTTTTTATTCCTCTCTCTGTTAGTCACCGAGCTTTTGTGTCGTGATAAAATGTAATCAGACAGCTGGTACATGTACACCTTATTATCTCGTTATAACCGGACACACCCATTAACATCAATAAACGGGTTATTTATTGTTATTTATAACTGTGAGTCTTCATCTGACAAGCTTTATATGGAGTCTGAGCTAATGTAGAGGCTTTATGGTTCAACAAGTCTTCTGTATGTGGAGGACTGAACCTGGCGCGGACGACTGTAACCGCTGTAGAAATATGAATAAAGTCATATTTATGCAAGCCAAATAAAACAAAGATAAACGACCAGAGGAACAAAACAGGAAAGACACATTAATGCTTAAAACGTATTTTGCATTCAGTCTTTTTAGTTGCCCCAACTAAGGGGCACGATTCATGTTCAGTGTGAAGGTAAATTACTAGTTTTGCAATCCTCAACTGTAGAAATTATTGGTAAGTCACGTGGTTATGATCAACTGTCTACAAGATGGTGTTTCTAGACAGTTTCCCAACCAATGGAGTAATTTCACCTGGCTGGGAAATATCTGTCTTTGTATTAACTGTTTAAGAACCTATATAAGCAGTAACAATAAGGACTTCTGCATTTTTATCTGTATATTTTTAATTGGGACAATGTAAGTACTTAAATATAAAATATTTCTTCAGCACCTTTCAAGATAAAACCAAATGCAAATCTAAAAATGTTTTCGCTGCATTTTGTAAGCGACCCTTGAGTTTACAGATCTGAAGCTCAGAGGGAGAGACTTCCAGAGTCTGGGGGCCACTGCTGCAAAAGCTCTGCCTCGTATAGTTTTCAGCCTGGTATGATGCACAACCAGTTGGCCCTGATGACATGACCTCAAGGCCCTGCTGGGGATGCATGAATGTAAACTGAAATGTAAAAGGAGAAAAGTTAGACAGATGTATTAAAGAGAAACAAGATAAAACCACCTCAGTGCTGGCAATTCTGGTTATCGATTGGCCATCTTTTTAACTGATATTTAAAAATATTGTATGTATTCTGTGTAGTTTGGTTTTCTATTTACCCTAATAGTATGGTAATGACTAAAAGGTGGAGGATCCAAATTATGTGAAAATTTATAACACATGTTTAACACATGAATATTTGTCTTATTTATAAATTTTCACATAATTTGGATATTTGGATTTTCAAAGCCACGTAAGCTGTGCTTCTGTAAAATTAAACAGTAGTGATAACAATAATGCTATTCTATTAAATATTTCCAATCTTCTGTTATATAAAGACTGTAATAGTTTTAAAGTATTAAAGCCAGACTGTGACCGTGTAGTAATACAATAATTAATATCAATTAAGAAATCACGGATGTTTGGTAGAACATTTCAGTTTCATTATTACTGTATGCATATATAACAACATCATCAGCAAAGAGTATTAGCTCCAGAACAAGCCAATCAATATCACGACAAAGCATGTTATAGACACGCCGGTCCACTGTGTCCATTTCAAATTTTCTTCTTCAAAATGTGAAAAGCACATGCGTGCACAAGTTGCAGTGGGAGATAATACATTTAAATCCAAGAAGTTGTTACTAAGCAAGGAAGGTATGTGTAAGTGTACTTCATGACAGGGTCCTTAATTGCCAGAAACTATTAGGCTAGGCTATTAAGTAACTATTAAGATAGGCAGATAATATGTACATGTAAATGTGTTAGTGATGTCTGCTTTAGCGCTTTCCCGTCATTATTTTCATGTTGGCTTGCAATAAAATGTCTCCCTGTGCTGGTACGGCAACTCAGTGCAACTTACTGCAGCTTCTGCATCTGTGTCCATTTCCCGTTTGGAGAGGCAAAGCTTGAAATAGACACGGTAGACCAGCATTTTCACGTGCTACTAGTTTGCAACAAGCAGATTGAAAATCACTAATATACCAAAAAGAAAAAAAGAGGATCTAGAAATGAGCCTTGAGGAACACCCACAGGTAAACAAAGAGCTTGATTGTTGATTATATGAGAAGTTTTTCATATTTTTAACCAGCGACTGTTGCTCCACACAGTTTACAATGTGTCATTTTTTTCTTGAGATCAAATGCTAAATGTGTCAATATGTCTACTCTCCTATTCCTCGCAAACAGTGACATTTTGTTGTGTTTTCATGTGAAACAGTGAGCATGGGAGCTAACAGTGCTGTTTTCCAGAGGCAGATTGAATGTGCGTGTCTGACCTTATTACACACAGAGATTACTTCTGATTGGAGAACTTTCATACTCATCCCACTTTTCTAACAACTTAATTAGTTCTGACTGGATCTCATCTCTCCAGAATATTTTCATCTCATTTTTATTCATTGATGAAAGTGTCAATACATTTCATCATAGTTTTTGTCCTCGTGCATTAGTTTCTATTTAGTTATCGTCTTGTTTTCGTCTCCAAAATAAAAAGACTGTTGATGAAAACTATAATGACAGTTATTGGTCAATGGAATTGTCACTGCAGTTCAGAAGACATGATTCAATCCAACAAAGGACATCAGAGGGGGAAAAAAAAGAAATGATTAACACTATCAAATGCTTTGCAAAGACTGAAAACACAAGCTCCCTTTGTGTAATTAGGCTCTTAACTTTTCTATGTAAAAAAAAACAACCCAAATTTGCTGTATCACTGGAGTGATTGGTTCAAAACCCAAACTGCACTGGGTGCAAAGCTGAAGAAGTGCTGTTTAAAGAAGTGACAAACTGATCAGCTACCAGTTTTTCAGGCAGAACGCCTACAATTGTCAAGAACTCGATGTTCGCCAATTTTGTGTATCAGTGTAAGAACAGCTGATTTTCTGATATTTTGGATTCTCTGCACATCATAATTTACCAGTGAGCACACCTTAGGAGGACACCGCATGTAACGTGGGGTGTGTTTGTCGTCTCCTGGGGTCCCTTTTTATAGACCTCAGCATTTGCTGAAGTAAGGTGCTGCAAACATATTTATTTTATGATCCGGTCCTCTGATAAGAAAACCTTTGATATTTTGTAGGAGGAAATGCACAAGTAGACACAGCTTTCACTGTGACACCGAGCAATCATTAATGTTGTTATCGAAACCAGTGACACATTCAAATGTTTGCTGTGATAAATATCTGTTATGTTTGTCCTCCTCTGTGGGATGTTTTCTGTATTTGAATGTGCAGCATGTAACAGGAAGAAGGATCCCGGCTTATTTAGAGTTTCTCTTTTTATCAGTGAGCAGTGCTTTTTTTAAGTTTAGTGATCTGAATGAATATGATCTTCTGCAGTTATGTAAAATTTGTTTACTTTCTCAGTCCTCTGTTGGGCAACCAGCCACATGGCTCGGACCTTCCGTCTCCGAACCTGAGGCCGAGACACCAGGAACTGATCCTGACACCATGTGGCCCGGTGAGATACTGGTGCTGCCGTGCCGGGAAGCGAAGCACATGTTTTCATTCCTGTCGTGCTTTGATTGTGATTTTTTTTGTTGTGGCTATCACAGGTTGTCTCACATTCTTTGTCCTTTCCATGCTGTTGCAGATAAAGCGCTGGTCGGAGCTGCCGCGCCTGCTGCAGGTCTATTTCTGCTTCGCCATACTGTCTCTGCTGGCGCTGCTCGGCCTCACCGTGTCCAGCCTCTACAAGCAGCACACGGACACGGACGTGTCCGACGAGGACAACTTCACTGTGTCGCTGATCCAGCTAGTTGGAATAGGTGAGTTTGTTGAGGGCAAGAAAAAAAAAGACATTTGCAGCATTCATCATCACCCCCACCGCCTCCTTTTAAAAAGCAGAAGTTCTTCTGTTGCAATCATATGATGAAAACTTCAGTGGAAGGAGCCAGTTCCAGTGGCTTATGTGTTCAGTGAGGATTTATGTCAACTGAGCTAGCTTTATTTCCTCATAGCTCAGGTTTACAGCTCGCTGAAGCATTTCCCATAAAAATGACTTGAGCTGCACTCTCTACCTGCCCTGTAGAGATTTGAGGAAATGGTGACTTTTGCTTAACCTCCTATGACCTTTCATCCACATATGTGGACATCACATTTTGGGTTATTTAGACCACAATACTCAATTTTGCTCTACAAGGGCCTGATATCCACTTACAAGGACATTATACTGCTACTGTTCTATCAAAATTTTAAATGAATATCCTCATATGTGGCTCTCATTTTTCTTAGAAACAAAAATCAGGTTAAAAAACATCAGGTAATTCTTTGTTTTTACTTTCATCAGGTCCGAATCAGCACAAATATCAAAGAGAAATTAAAAATACATGCAATGGAAGAGTTTGGGTCTTAGGAGGTTAAAGTCGCTTTCGAAGCGTCATTTCCAACAAACACTGGGATGCTGTGAAAAACCGAAATACAAGCAAAATGCAATGATTAGCAAATAAATTGTGGAGCTTAGTGCAGAGTAAACGTTACCTCTGAGGAGATGTTTGATGAACAGAGTAGCAAAGTAACTGATTTTGTTCATGATCATTAACATTTTTTACACAGAGCTTCATTAAAAGCTTTGTATCGTATACTTATATCCTTAAGCTATATGATTGAGAAACGGTGTGCACACACAGTACAAATACCTCATCTTTATTCAAAGTGCTTGTCCTGCATGTGAGCTCTGCCTGTTGTCTGGCCCCTGCAGTGTTCTGCATCTACTACATCATCCGCGGCGTGCTGCAGGAGAACCGACAGGAGCTGGTGGCGTTCGTGCTCAGCGTGCTGGTAGTGATGATTCGGTCGGTGGTCAACTTCTCCGTGCTGGGTACGAAAGGCCAACAGGAGCTGCTGGTGAGGAGTTTGGAGGGAATCGTGAATATTTCTCGTGCAAAAAGCAAATAGAACTTTGACTGATTTGGATTTGCAGAACAAAACCAGAAAAGATACTAATGTTAATATGAGCAATGTGAGAAAATGTAAAAAAAAACAACACGGTAAAACATCTTTAGCACGACAGAAGTATATTAAACTTCAAGATATTCCATAAGTCCTGCGTGACTGACCGATGGCTGCAAAAATGAGACAGTTGTTGTAGTTTTCGCTCTGTACACCACCACAGTGGATTTTAAATCAAACAGTTAACATGCCTGTGATTGAAGTGCAGACTTCATTCAGCTTTCTTTTCACAAAATATTTAATTAACTGTAAGAAATTACAGCCAGTTTTATACAGTTTTCTATTTTAAGAGGCCCAGCAGTGATTGGACAAACAAACATAATTTGAGATATATATGTTCTATGTCTTTTGACTTCCTGAAGTCTGAACCCACGAGCATCACCAAATGCAGATGTTCTTCCCAGTCTTCACTGCAGCTCCCTCCCATTGCTAGTTGCTGTGAGTCTCTTTGCCTTCAGTTTTGTTTTCAGTAACCGAAAACGTGCTTGGAGAGAGCTGTTCCAGCCAAGCACGCTGGGTTGAGATCAGGTGACTGACTTGTTCATTCAATAATGTCTCGTTTCTTTTCCTTGAGAAACTCTTGGGTTGATTTTGCAGTTTTGCAGCATTTGGTTAAATCTGAGCAGAGAGCACAGCCCTGTACACTTTTCCATTAATCGTACTCCTTGTGTCAGCAGTCATCAATAAACAGAAATACATGCCCACGCTATGTTTGACAGATAATTTGGTACGCTTCAGATCATAAGTGGTTTCTCTCCACACTTTTCTCTTCCCATCATATTTTCATCTGTCCAAAGTGTCTTTTAGATGTTTTCTTGCAACGTCTAATCTCACTTTCTTATTCTAGAGTGTAACCAGTGGTTTGCACTTTTCACAGTGATATCTTCTTGAGCGTGTTCTTGGCTTGCTTTGAGGTTATGAAGTTATTTTTAAACTCTAAGGAAAAATTTGCGATCATCCACTCTAGTTTGTCTTCGGTGGTTGCTCAGAGTTAGCCCGATTGTTGATTAGGACACACCAAACGTTTTTGCTGTTTTTCTGAAAGCTTCCTTTGATTTTTCAGCCTAAAGATGGCCTCCTTCTGCTCCTATCAAGTAGGCCTGTGCGATATGATGAGATATATCGGATGACGATATGAAAACATCTGTCAAATTATACGTTATTGTTTGTTTTGTGGTGTTGCAAAATACACTGTTTACGGCAATATTTTTCATCAGGGCACAGAGAATACCAGTATAGCCTAGGGCTGTTCGATATAACGATATATATCGGATGACGATATAAAAACGTCTATTGTTTCATTTTACGCTATCGTTTGTTTCGTGGTGTCGCAAAATAAACTGTTTACAGCAATATTTTTTCATCGTTTTGATGGTCACTGTAGTGGCTATATTAATTTCTTAAATATGTCTGTGAAGGTTCTCAGTCATCCAGGTCATCGTAGTCAAAGGAGCTTGCAAAGAAAAGCGTCAGGACTTCTTTAAGTTACTTGAAGACGTTTCACCTCTCATCCGAGAAGCTTCTTCAGTTCTAAGGTCAAATGGTGGAGAGTCCCAGATATAAACCTAGTGGGAGTAACCCCCCACAGAGGAACAAAAGGACCCCTGATGATCCTCTAATCGCCTGAGCCAACTGGTGTGAAACTGGGTGTGGGTCCCAATCAGCCAGCGTTTCGGGTGTGTTCATTGTGAAACCTGGCCCCACCTTATCATGCGAATTCCTGAGGTCAGATGGCCCAGGATGTGAGTGGGCGTTAAGGCGTCTGGGAAGGGATCTCAAAACTGGATTATAAATGGCAGAGAGTTGGTGTCGTAAACCCCCGCCTCTGTTCAAAGATGGTCGCTCACAGTGGACATAGATGGCTTCTTTCACTCCTCTTTCAAACCATCTGTCCTCTCTGTCCAAAATGTGAACATTGGCATCCTCGAAAGAGTGTCCTTTATCCTTAAGATGCAGATGGACTGCTGAGTCTTGTCCTGTGGAGGTGGCTCTTCTGTGTTGTGCCATGCGCTTGTGAAGTGGCTGTTTGGTCTCTCCGATGTAGAGGTCTGGGCATTCCTCGCTGCACTGTACAGCATACACCACATTGTTAAGTCTGTGTTTTGGCATTTTGTCTTTCGGGTGAACCAGTTTTTGCCTGAGCGTGTTGCTGGGTCTGAAATACACTGGGATGTCGTGCTTGGAGAAAACTCTCCTGACTCTCCTCAGAAACGTCTTGTTTACAGCAATATTTTTTCATCGTTTTGATGGTCACTGTAGTGGCTATATTCATTTCTTAAAGTTCTCTCTTTCTCTTATATTTTATATAACCACACTAAGGATGGACGGACAAGCACCTGTTTTTATGCGTTGTGGTTAGCAACAACGTAAAACTATCGCGTGTCCGCTTGTTTATGTTCCATATAAACCTTTTACAATAAAGCTCAAGATCCTGTTGAGACTTTTCAAAATAAACTGAATCACGTGAAAGAGCAGATTATTTACGGATGAGAAGTAAAAAAGAGCCGCCAGGTGCTAAAATATAAACCTTAGACTCAAACATTAGAACAGGCTTTTCCCCGCAGCACGCCGTGTAATAAATACTCACAAAGAAAACGGCGGCCGTTACAACTTATGTCTAAAAATGTATAGTTTCATGCATCGGTTAAAACACTAGACTCCAGCTACATGACGCGCAGTTGTAAACACTTCCCACAAGACGAGCTGCCCGAGATTCACAGAATTTACAGAACATGTTACATTTTTGTGATTTATATCGTTATCGGGACGATAGAATTCTTATATCGGGATATGAGATTTTGGTCATATCGCACAGTCCTAGTATAGCCAGTAAAAATGAGGCAGAATACATTAGCTCCAAACAGAAGGACTGTTCAAAACAAATCGAGGACCTTATTCCTAAATGAGGGGCTACCCCTGTAGCACGGACTTGGTTTGGTTATGAAAGTATGACACGGACCAGAAAACTGTACTATGCAAATTCTGCCGCAAACCAGTCCCCAGCACAGACTCAACCACGACAAACCTCGACTACTACGCAAGAAACACGAGAAAGAGTGTGAAGAGAGCTTATGGATGAGAAGCAAAAAATAGCCGTTAGCTGCTCTAAATAAACCTTAGACTCAAACGTTAGAACAGGCTTTTCCTCGCAGCAGTTTCATGCATCGGTCAAAACACTCGACTCCAGGTACACCACTCCCAGCTGAAAACACTTGACACAAGTGGGGTTGCCAGAGATTCACAGAATATACAGAAAAAGCCCTATTTTGTGATATATATGTATATATGTTCTCAGGATGGGAAATGTCTTTTATCGGGATATGAGATTTTGGTCATATCAACATGCTTTCAGGCATCATATTGAGAGATTTCCACAGGGAAATTCACCAAAAACAAGTTAAACACTTGGAATGAACTCCAGGGCCCTGTTTCAGGGAGCTGGTTTAGTGCAAACTCTGAGTAAGTAAACCCTGAGTTAACGAAAACTCTGGGTTTTCAGTTTCACAAAGCGAGTTTAGATTAATTCTGAGTGAGTTACTATGACGACACACTCCGTGAAGCTAACCTGCCCCCTAGCAGGTTTACTTCAACTAACCCTGACATTCTCCGCCTCTTTGTCAGAAACCTGACTGTAGGAAGTGTCGGACATGGCGTGCCCCTTCCTTGAAGAGCCAGTAGATGTTGAAGCACAAATTCTCCGCAGAGCTCTCCGCCAGGAGAGAGTGATTAGAGCGCGTTTGGACATTTTATCATTTCCTGATGATTTTCTGTGTGAACGTTACCGTTTTTCAGCACAATCTATAATTTATTTGAATAACATCCTCAGGCCTAATATTGCTCATGTGACACATCGCGGACATTCTCTCAGTTCTGTACATATTATTTGTATTGCACTTCGGTTTTTTGCAAACGGGAGCTTTCTGTATAATATTGGTGACGCTGAGCACGTTTCCAAGGCTACCGTCTGTCGGGCAGTCAGGAATGTTACAGTTGCACTGAAACGTCTCCTGTACTCGTCTGTGGTGTTCCCCGGTCATAGACCCACAAGATTTATCAAAGAGGGATGCCACAAAATTGCAGGTATCAGGATGAACAAAACTCAATTCATGATGTGGTGATACTTGAACTACTACTTAAATTGTACATTTATTCTCACGGTTCCCAGGCGTCATTGGCTGTACAGATGGCACTCACATTCCAATCATTGCTCCTTCAGTAAATGAAGGAGACTATGTGAACAGGAAGTCTTTCCACAGCATTAATGTACAGGTACATAGTTCCCTGTAGCATTTCAAACTAACAGATTATTTCATTATAGTAATGGATGCTAATTTGTGTTCTCTGCAGTGTGAAGATCATATGTGATGCTGCCAACATTATCACAAATGTGGAAGCCAACTGCTCCGCCTCTGTGAGTGGTGGTGGTGGTGGAGGACCCCCACCTGTTTTTCGGGCCTCCGCTTCTTTTCTGTTGGCTATAACGGGTCACATTTGAGTATACAGAGTAAGCAAATATGTACTTGTAATGTGCTCAGATAATTTCAATGAGTGCTTACAGAAAGAAAATTAATGTAGCCTCTAACTGCAATTGATTTACATCGGACAAACAGACCAAGCACTATGGCTCATAATACAATTACACCTCACCTGTTTGGACTATATTTTTATATTTCATTTTTACTTGCTGCCAGGAACGTTGAGGGCCTGTTGGGTTGCACCTGCGCTCACATCACATCACAAAATCAAATGTATGAAATAAAAAATAAAATAAAATATAATAACGTGTTAAATGGGTGGAAATCCCTAGATCAATGTTTAAATTAACACTCACGCATTGACTCTGTCGGCTATGTTTTGCCATGCATGTTCCCTTTCTTTTGCAGCTGACGCTGTGTTACTTTTTTTCCGCAAAATTTGCATGTTATCGGCATATGCTGCCATCAGAATTTCGGCCTCAAGCGCTGTAAGATACATTGACCGCGCCTTCTTTCCCTCCGTCTCCATGGTGACTCGCTTAATCTGTGCTCCACTAATCAGGGCTTTATGTATCCTCGTGCGCGCGTTTAACTTGGGGTTAAAGCAACTCCGCGTTGATTGAACTACTTGTTATCAGCCTTTCTGAAACCGAATATTCCGAGTTGGACAGTTCGGGGTTACTCAACCCTGAGTATCGTTTTTCACTCTGAGTTTTCTAAACCGGCTTCCTGAAATAGGGCCCAGAGCTTTCATCTGCTCAGTTTAATTTTCCAGGTAGTTTTGACTCCTTCAATTAAAGCTGAAAGTCTGCTCTTCAAACATGCTTGATAGGACGATTTAAAATCCACTGCCATGGTGTACAAAAGAAAAAGGAAATCAAATTTGTGCCGTCATCCAAAATCCTTCTGGACCCGACTGTGTATGCGTCAGCTCTGAATGGTGTCATCGTTGCTTCCTGCTGCTGCTGTTAAGACACGAAAGGAAACAAAATAAACAAAACAGGTGTCAGCAGGCATCGTGAACAATTACTTCCCGTTTAGATGATTCTCAGTTCCACCACTTGATGTCACTGTGACTGTATGTGTGAATGAGTGATCCAACGAGTGAATGTTGAGACTACATGTTGATGGTTATTGCTGTGTGTTGGTGTTTGCTGAACATACATAAAAGCTAAGGTGGTAAACCTGTTACAGCTCCACCAGTGTTCTGTTTAAAAGCATGCAAAGCCCCAGGAAGAGCAGTTCTTATCACAGACAGTCTACATGCAGCTGAGTGTTGAGTTACTGAATAATGCCACATTTCTGCAAACTGAACCATCTTTTTTACTGGCGGGTGACTGATATGAATGATAGAGAATAATTTGATGTAATAACTGCCTTTAATTTTTCACCGTGCACAAACCTGAAGCACAAACGGAGTGAACAGCGGCGATCTGTTTGTGTGGCAGGTGCGTTTCGTGTGCATCGTCACCCTGGGCGTCGTGCACATCTTTTGCACCACGCTGCTCATCCGGAGACCGAACATGATGGCGTTCCGTGTGGGCGGAGCCTTGGAGTGCCTTCAAGAGCAGTATTTCCTGCTAAACCTGTGTTTCTCCATGGTGACCTTTGACCTGCAGGCTCAGGTACACGCACGTTCTCCTTTTGTTTTTTTACAGTGGAAATTTTTGGCATTTCACGCGCGCAGCATGTCGCCCTGCACGTGCTCCTCGTCATATGCTTTTTTTCCTTGGTGTTCAGCGTCCAACAGTGAGGCGAGTTTGTTTTTAACAGAGCTGATGAGCGGCTTCGTGACGTTGTGCTGTTGGTGTGACCTTTTCAGTTGTGCCTGTGTGCCCTGATCTTAACAACGAGCCTGGCCGCGACTGGGGCCAACAACATAATCGTGGGTGTCGGAGTGTTCTGGGCCATCCTGACTACAGTTGTGGGCGCTGTTGCGGTGAGACCTGGTGTGACTCTCTGGTCACACCAGAGAGTCACAAGCGACAATAAACCAAAAAAGACAAGAAACATAGATGCACTTTAAACAGTCACAAGCTGAAGAGCAGCCAATTGTAACCACTTGTTTTTGTTTTTTAGGTTTTAAAGGAAAAGAAAGTTTTGGTTTGGATCTTTATGGTGCAGAACGTTCCTCAGGTGGCATTCTTTGTGTATCTGATGTACACGGTAGGCTGAGATTTCCTTCATTTATTCAGATATTTTATTTAACTACACATTTTGTTGTTCCGTTTGTGTGAGTGTGCTTTATGAAGTGAGTCTTCCTAATAATAATCCTGCTTAGGAATGACTGTCCCTAAGTACGTCACACAACTCGCACTTCAAATATGACCGACCGGTGCCTTTGTTGGGGGCTATCTTTCTATTGAGGATCAAAACACATTTTATCATATCTGTGAGAATCTATAATAGAAAATTGTGCCAGAGTTTTTTGGGACAATGTGGAAAATGTAAATAAAAACCAAATCCAATGACTTGCAAATCTCATGAACTTTATTTACAATAAAACAGGAAAGTTTGGACCTGGACAGCAAAAGTCTGTAAAAGTAAGTGGCACTAAAAAGAAACAGCTGGAGGAACATTTTGAAACTAATTAGGTTAATTTTCAACAGGTCAGTAACTTGATTGGGTATAAAAAGATATTCTTAGCGAGGCAGCGTTTCTCAGGAGTAAAGATGTGCAAAGAAATTGTATCTACAAGTTATTAAACAATTTCAGAATAATTTTCTGCTATGTAAAATTGTAAAGATTTGGAACATCTCACATCTACGGAACATAAAATCATCAAAATATTCAAAGAACTTGGAGAAATCTCTGTGCGCAAGGGACAAGGACTAAATCTTCGTCCGTCAGGCAGCACTGCATTAGAAACAGGTGCGATGCTAGCATGGAAATCACTGCAGGGGCTCAGGAGCAATTACAGAAAACTGTGAACACATCCACAAATATAAACTTGATCCAGAAGGGCCACTATCTTCTCCTCGCCAAAGCTCATTTAAAATGGACTTATGCTCCCATCAAGGCAAGAGATTTTTCAGGGAAGGCCTTGGATATTTTAGCATAGTAGAAGAGTCTGGGTGCGGTAGTGACTTTCCTGCAGTCCAGGTTGTTCCCCAGTTTGGTACGCGATGAAATAAAAAAATACAACTAAAAAGACCCACAACTGTGGAGGTGTTGTTAAAAGAAGAGGGGATGCTGTAGTGTAAAACACGGCTCTGTCCCAGCGATTTTAAGACGTGTCGCTGCTGTCAAATTCAAAATGATTTAATTTTCTCAGTTCAAACATCAAATATGATTTTTCTATTATGGGATTACGAGATTTGCAAATCACTGGATGTTTTTTAATTTACATTTTGCACACTATCCAAAATTTGTTGGCGCTGGGCTGTAAAAGTCCTTGTAGTTTCATAGACTGTATATAGCAGATGGCAGAGCCACTGATGTCACCTGTTAGTTTGCTGGCTACCTTTTTGAAGCCTCAAGGTTCAAATCTGGACATGACAATCAATGTATGAGGGTAGATGTAAAGCTTGGGTAGCGGAGTGCACTGTATTATTAAATGGGATGCTAACATGGCTAGCATAACAGGTGACATCTTATACAGTCTTTCTGTCACTACGAAATGGGAAAAGTCACTCAAAGCAGAGATTTCCTTTCACAGTGAGTCCTGCACAGCAACACAGTGGAAACAGCTATAGACCGTATAAACCTTTTTTATTCCAAGACTTCAAATCCGTTTATTTGTGCTGTGAAGTTGGGCATTTGCTCATCAGGGAGTGATGTAGGTGCAGTAATAAATGCAGTTAGCGTAGCACTTGAATAGTTACTTTCCAGTGTTTTTCAGTATTTCCAGTAAACCCCCCAAAAAGCACTTTCTGACACGATTGCTGCTCACATCACAGAGGACAGCGCCTCTGTGATGTGAGGATGACGCCGCATGTTGGCGTTCCCTTCTTTGGCTGAGCCGTGCGCTCAGATACAGGCGCCTGCGGGGAAACAATGATTTTGCTTTAATCGCAGGTGGCAGAGAAATGGTTCGAGGACACTACGTACACAGTGGAGGCAGCTGCTATAACCGGGGCTTTGATTTCACTGGTGATCAAAGTGGTTTTATTCTGGGGCCTCATCAGACTGGTACACAGCTTTGGACAAGGCCTGAGAGAGAGAAGTGAGTTTACTGCTTCAGTCCCTTAAGAGTTACTTTGAGCACAACACTAAACACACACTGCATCTGCAGAACACCGAGTTAGCAGTTTCTGTTTCTTCCTAAATATCCTGAATTTGTTTGTTCGAGATGTTGATTGTAAGAAAACCAGAGTTTTCCTGAATCTGCCAAACTTGAGCATCAGAATACTGAAACCCTTGTTTTTTATTGCTCTTCACAGTGTTTGCACATAACAGGTGATAAAACATCAGGACCAAGGAAACAGCTGCACGCTGTGGGCTTAAAGCACCGTGCTGCTGACCGCGAAGCTCACATTTGTATTCAGCATCAAGTGTGCCAAAATCATCACTCAGCATTGTTTTATTTTTCCATGTTCTGTATACTGTAAGAATGTTAATGTGTTTCTGGCTTCAGCGGCGTCCCTGTTTACAGAATTTAAATGAATTCTCAGGGGTTTTTTGGGGTTTTTTTTTTAATTTTTTTATTTCAGTCAACAACAACAACACCAACAGATTATAATTTTACATAAAAGTACTCAAAAAGTAACCGATATGATGCAAACATCATATCAGATGTTTGCATCTGATATGATCAGTCTGTACCTGAATACGTGCATGCATCATGACGTGCGATGCAGCTCTCTGTATTTAAGGCCTCACTATCCAGGTTGTGCCAACACTTTTATATTAGTGCATTACGTGTATTAGCTAAGCATGGCTCACTGAGTCTATGAGCTCCATTGTTTTTACCCCTGCTGAGCGTACGCTCTGTCGCTCTCTGTGGCACGACTAAAATATTTCCTTTGAATGTCGCCACGCAGGTAGATTGTTCTGGTATCCTGTCAACATGCGTTTGTAAACCAGCTTCATATAATCGTTTTTACACCAATATGCATTTTAACACCTAAATCGAGTTTTGTAGCGTTGCCAACATCCTCCACTTTTTAAAAAATGTGATTTCTTCCTGTAAATTGTATTCACAGTTATGACTGATTTAAGTTTGCTTTTTAAAATTAGAAATGTGTAAATTAACTCGTGCAGTCGACCACCACGACTAGCCGTGTTTTTATTGACATATTTTTTAAACTGTCTGCTGCACTTTCATGCGCTCCTGTTTTTTTCATCCAAAGTTCTTAATAAAGTATTTTAACAAAAACTTTGACATTTTGATTTACTGATCTTTTTGGGACATGCAGCTCTGTGCAAGTCTCGATCCACTCCTCATATTTTGCTTTCAGTGAGCCAGACGTTGTTGTACTTCTCCAAAGGGAGGGAGTGTGTAATCCTTCTGTTTGTCCGTCTGTTCGTTAGCAGTGTATCGCTCAGTTTTCAATATATCATTTTCAAATTTTGTGTGATGGTACATACCAATAACAGCTCGAGCTGATTTAATTTAGGGTCAAGTTCAAGGTCAGACCAAAAGGGAAAATCACTAATAACTTTATATTACCCACAATTCTTAGTGGATTGTTTTCAAACTTCACAACAATATACCAGGCCTTGTATTTGACCTTGACCATAATTGTCACTGCCCAAGAAACCATGTATCATATGAAAGGGCATGGAGAGAAGTACAACAACATTTGACGTCACAATAACAGGCTGACGTCAACGTAACTTTTTAAAGTGGTCTTTTCAGTCACCTTTTACACGAGGATTTTCAGAGGAATGTTTTTGTGTATGTTAAGCCACTTAAAACTGAATCATGATGAATCATTCAAGCATAAAAAACACCTTATCAAAGGATGAACCGGTGTTGTGTCTGCACATAACAGGCAACTGGGCAAAGAAGCTATTTTAAATGGTTTCTTTAGGCTCCTTGTTGCTGAAAACGTCACAAAACAGAGAGCTATCGGGTGAAAACTTATAACTTGGCGTGATGTGAAGTGTGTACTTAAACATTTTGGGGAAACTGGACAGGACGAAGGACAAAAAAGTGGCAGGACTTTAAAAAAAAATAAAATACTGATCTACAGCAGGTGAACATTATCTGAAAGTTACGTCCTTAAGAAAGAGGGGGGGAAAGTCAGCAAAGACCTGACACGGGACCAGCTGATCCATCTACTTCTCACTGAAGCCTGCACTTCACTCCATGGTGTCGAGTACCATGCGACTCAGGACTGTACTTAAAGTAACTCTGTGCAAATGCCCGTGATTTTATGATATAACTGGTTTCATTTGTCGAAGCACATGATCAGACGGTTGTTGGTTAAACCTGTTTATTAAATGTTTTGGGAAAAATATCAGACTCCATATTAGAAACATTAACAAGTGTACTCATACAAAATTCCCATTTACAAAAGTGAAAAGCACTTTGAGAGTTGACAATGCTTCACAGAAGGGTCGTCAAAGCCTGGTTATCTTACTGAACTTCGCGTGTGTGTTTTTAAACTGAGATTAAACAGTTCAGACCAACATTTGAAATAATTCTGCCACCGTCCACGTCAGAAATGAGATTTTTCACTTTGTCCTGGAATGCATTTCAAGAGATATTTAACTCAGTTTGTACTTCTGTCCAATGACACCGTGCTAGAAATTCAGTTGGATGAGCAGAACTACTAAAAGCAGATTGGTTTTCATCAGTGAAACAGAATTTACAACCAAAGAATGTAAAAGAAAAAGTACTAAATAGATTTATTATCCATTAGTAATACATTAGAAACTGTTAATAAACACATGAACTTTACAAAATACATCTTATTCAAACATTACATTTATATACATACTCAAAGGTTTAAGGAATAATTAGCTGTTAGTGCTCGGGTGGTTTTTGTTTAGCGTTACAGATGAAAGCTATTCATCTTTTCACCCCGACACAGTTTGTTGAGCCAATTCACAACACATATATATTAACTTCCGGGCACTAAGCCCGAACAGACATGTAAGGCAGGCCACCTCAAAGTAATCACGAAAGGCAGCACAGGGGTAAACTGATAAGAACAGATCCAAAGTCTCACACACAGACCATTAAACCACCCACAGCCCACAGACATTGGTCTATAAAATATACTATGGCTTAAAGCACATTTTAAAAAGCAGACTTTAAAAATACAAAGTATGAAATACGAAGACTTCCAATCTGTGTTCTCTTAGCCTGGAATGGATACCGCCTCCTAGTGTTCACACCGTGGTTGATAGTAGCGATATTACACAATGTAATAAATGACACAAACGAGTGACAATCAAGTGCTGTGAACAGCGCAGACAAACAGTCACAATGTGGTAACAATGAGAATGCACAAAAACACAAATCTGTGATTTTTATTTTTGTTTTTAAAGTGTGGTGTAAACCTTGAAAAATATTACTTCTTTACATGAATGATACCAGTGTTTAAAGGCACAGTCTGTAATGTTGTGTTGCTAGGTAGATGTACTTTAAATCTGCTCCTCCATGAGACGCAACTAAAAAAAAAAAAACTCTAAAAACAACATTTGCCATTCATTGATAGCATTACATCCATATTTTTTTTTTACCAGAGTTGGATCTTTCCTGGAAGGTGCAACTCTGCCGTCACCCCCACAGAGAGCTAGTTTTTACCCTGCCATCTGATTAAAAAGTGCTACGACACATCTGATAACCACAACTGACCTTTAAGTTTCAGTACAAGATCACTTCAAGTGTTGCATTTCCTTTTCATTTTTAGTCAAAACACTTTGTTAACAAGCTGAAGTTTCAACTTCAAGAAAGGAGAGGTTTTCACAGCATTCAGATCCTGGAGTAATAGTGGAACCAAACTCCATTCAAAAATCCATCGTTTTAAAAGTCTCACACACCGAACGTCCAGTGGGAACATTTGGGAAATTGTATTAATGCTTCAAAGTTCACAAAGAAAAATTTTTTTTATTTGGTTTAATTTTCTTTAACTAATGCTTTTAAAAATGCTCATTTGTTTTTATTTATTAAAGTCATATTTTGAATTTTAAGGGCATGTCGCAGCGTCCACATTTCAGCCAATTGCAGTCGTTACAGGAGCTTAGCTTTTTACTGTCGTGAACGAAATGTTTACCAAAAAACAAGAATGATGAAACAGTATTTTAGAAAGTAGGACTTAGTATTAGTTGTTTGTTTTTTTAATTAAAAGGACCTTGAATGCTTGTCCTTATTTTCTATCATATATGCACAGTGGTACACTGGTAGAGCTTCAAACTGCTCGGTCATTTTTTTCCTTCTAGTTTTGGGTATTTATGATGTCAGTGAGAACAGACAATCCCTAACCTTCTATTTACAAAGCGCAGCCAATCAAAAGAAAGCTGTCTTCATGAGGGGGTGGGGGAACTAAAACTGTTGCCGTGAAGGTGGATGAAATGAGGGGCTGTAGCAACCTCGTTTTACTGAAAACTATTATAACAGATTTTTTTATTTTTTTGAAGGGAGTTTGGTGAGACCTTCTATCCGTAAAAGATGGAGAAAAAAGAAAAAAAAAATGGCACAGAGAACGGTCAAGCTAAAACCAAGACTTTAAGGAGACCCCGAAGAAGGCCTCAGAATTCCTCATCCTCTGAGCTGAGGTAGTTCTGCTTCTTCCTCACGTTCCAGTGTAAGCACTGGGCCAGGCTCTCGAACCAGTCATTAACCGGGTCCCGGAAGCAGATCGATGGAACGGGGAAGCAGGAAGTGGTGATGGTAATACTGGAGCAAGAATTGAAATGGGAAAAAAATAAATAAATAAATGAAAGGAGTTGTACTTTTTAAGGACTGAACAAGGAAAGAAAATGTTCATTGTTTGCAGTCTCAACAAAAGAGGTGTTGTCTTCAAACTTCCTTATATATATATAAAAAAAAAAAAAGAAAACAGCAGGCATTTACTGAGGAATCCTGGCAGCTCTCTTCCAATAACCAGAAAGCTGATTATGTTTTTGCTGAGTTACATAAAGGAAGAAGCTGGATCGGACTCAGGAGACACTCATGGACTCAAGCCCATTAAGGCAGGTTGATAAGGTTACATAACAAAGCCTTTAAGTGTTGAGGCAGCTGCAGGGGCGTTAAACTTATCAAGTGTGTGTCTATGTCTATATCATGGCCTCGGCATGCAGACTAACCTGTCCCCGTGGCAGATCTCTTGTCTCTTTCGTCCATCAAACGACACCCATGCTGTGTTTCTGGCGTCACATGAGAGCATTATCTGAGAGGCAACGCAGAAAAAAAAATGCAGAAGTCACAGAAAGAACATGCTTCATCTTTTGTGTGTGTGGCGTTACCGCTCAGATTCAAACGAGATCTACTTGTAAGACTTGCCTGTTTCTTGTTAAAACAAATAAATAATAGCAAATGCACGTGATGAATGAGCTTTTTTGGCAAGTTCGCCAGTACCTTGAGCTCCACCCCGGCCGGCACCACGATTGGTCTGAAGGAGAGAGAGTGCGGGCAGATGGGGGTGATCATGATGGCTGGGACGTTGGGATGGATCATGGAAGCTCCTGCTGCCACTGCGTACGCTGTGCTGCCTGTGGGTGTGGAGACTATCACACCTGAGTGGACAGAGATGCAAAAGCACATTTTCACTGAAGCCCAGGTACTTAATGCACTGAGCCATCAAAAGAGTGTAACGAAGGGCAAAGTTCAGCCTGCATCTCTGACTGACCGTCACCCCTTAGTAATTCTTGTGCAGAAGAAGAACTTTGTGCAGAAGCTTCTAGACATTTTTCTTCCTAAAATAAAAAAGCCAAACCTTTGCAGTGACTCATGGATATCCTGAACACTTAGAGTCCCAGAGAGCAGCCATTTGGCTTTTCTACCTTTAAAACCTGCCATTTCTAATTCCGTTGTTTGTTTTCAAATTCCGTTGTTTTCATTCAAATTCTGTTGTTTGTTCTCAAATTCTGTTGTTTGTTCTCAAATTCTGTTGTTTTCATTCTAATAAGCACATAGTGAAGCAAAACTGTTGTTAGCCTTATCAGCACGCAGCACTGATCTGATTTCACTGTCAGCACGCCCTGATTCTGGACGGCCTTGAAGTCTCCGCGCTCTCATGCCACTCACCATCTCCCTGCACCGTAGTAATGAGGTGTCCATCCAAGAACAGGTCTACGTTAGAGAGATAGGAGGAGGGTCCTCGGTCCACCACCACCTCATTCAGTACCTGCAGATTTGTGGGAGGAAGGAGGGGAAAAAAAACAAAAAAACAAACAAAAAAAAAAAACACAATTCACACATCAAACGATTTTCAATTTGCCACAACCCCCATGTCTGCTGATATGATGTCACCCACTCGCACCACATTGTTGGATTTGTGCCAGTACAAATATTTGTCAGAAGCCATTAACCTCATACGTGCGGTCAGAGCTACATTTCGCTAATGACTCAGTTTGCTCCTGCTTCTCTTTAAACAGCAGGTTAACAGCCTGCAGGCGCCTTCTTTGAAGACGGCCGAGTCACGACGAGCAAACTGCATTAGCGAGCCGTTTTGACCTATTTTTAGCGCGGGCTGAGGCTGCGAGGGGAGCTGGACCCTGCAGTTATGTGACAAAAACTTTTATCGGAGAACCAGAAGCTCTAACCTACAGGGGACAATCGTCTGTGAATCTGCATTCTGCAGCAGGAACAGTTTGAATGTCTTTGTCCCAATGCGAGGTGGACACATTACCTGATACTGCATGGCTTTGCGGCTACTTTCAATGTCCCCGTTGGTCAAAATGATCCCCTTTTCGTCCACCCTGGCCTTCTTCTCCCAGTTCTCTTTGAGCACCCGCACTTTCAAGCGACTTCTTAAGACAATGGCAGCGTTACCTGCAATCAGTACAAATGCTTTAAGCTTCCTTTACGGAAAATAACACACAAAAACTTTCAGCTATGCAAAAAGAATGGAAAGATTTGTACAAGTAGGTCATACAAACATGGAGGCTGAAAGACCAGTTAGAAAACATTCATTACCTTCAATAATTTGGTTGACCTGAGACTGGTAGTTTTCAAATTTGAATGGGGTCAGAAAGCCCAGGGAACCCAGGTGGAAGGACATGACTGGTGGAACGCTCTCCTACGATGGGAGGAGATGGTTATGTTTACAGCAGCAAAAGCAAAAACGCACAGAGTGCGGCGTGGGCGACCGGCTGAATACCTGGAAGAGCGAAGATGCGTACAGCAAAGTTCCATCTCCACCGAGACAGATTATAAAGTCTACACGGTTGGAGATGTCGTCGAGATCTAAGAGATATGTAGACAACAGCTCATTTACATCTCTTATTTTTAAAAAAAAGTTATAAACACTTCATGTAACTGGATCAGAGATGACTGGTGTCCCTACCTTCTCTGAAAGTACAGAATTTCTTTGTAACGGCCGCAAAGTTTTCATCGCCTGAAATGGCTGGGTCCTCCAGGACTTTCTTTTCCACGTAAACAATCATGCTTTTCACCTAAATGACACACGACAATCGAGAGCCTGTTATTTTTACTGGACATGCGGTATAACATTAACACTCAGCAGCTTCCCACCAACAAACGCTGCCCCCCGCCCTTCGGTTTGTGGTTACCTCGGTGAGGAACCTGCAGAGCTCTTTGAAAGGCTGTAGCAGACTGGCATCTCGGATCTTCTTGATGACAAGGACACTTTTTGGTGGTTTGTTCCACGTCAGCCTCTGGCTGGCGGGATCCTGAATGTGCCTGAACAAAGAAACAGGTCAGAACAAAGACATCGTCACTTGGTGCAAAACGGCACCGAGCTGCATCACCGGCTTACGTAAAGGGCCTGGGACGTGAGCACCGAGATCTTAGTCAACACATCTTGTATCAGCTAACTGAAAATTCCTCTTGTTCATCGCCACCAAGGCTGCTCAGAACCTATCCAATTAGACATGTCGGCTTACTGTCTAGCTCTGCTGCCACACACTTGTGAATCTGTCTGCAGGGTTCTGACTCAACCTCATGATCATCTCGGTTATTAAAATCCTTACAAAACTGCAAAATATGCAAGAAAAAACAAACAAACATCTGATTAAAACGTTGAAGTAGAAACTAACAGGACGAATGAAACTCTCACAGGTTAAAAAGAGATAAGTCTGCTGACCTGAGTTAGTTACAGCTCTGCCATACATATTAGGAACTTAATGACTCTAGAATCAGCTGATTCTAGTTTCTGTACAAGCAGTTCCTATGCAAGAAGCTGGTTTTACAGCCCTGGAAATATATGCAATTAAAGTTACAGGAGTGAAAAGTCAGAAATTATTCAGGCTCCGTCACCAGTAGCATAACTGCACAGTCAAACATACTCGTTATTTTTTATTTTTTTAAAAACACACTTTCATATAAGAGCTTTTTAAAATCCTTCCTTATTGATTTTAATCAAACCGCATCTACACATTTCAGTAAATCCTTTAATAAACGTTTGGATCAAACCACTAAAGCCACTTAAAATGCATGATACAATAGGAGTATTATGCACCGACCCAGCATTAGCTTTGAAACAAAATGAACATTAATTAGCTTAGCATCAGCATGACTTTTTGTGGGGTGTTGAGCCTCGTTACAGTCAGGTGGCTAAATTACCGAGAGGAATAGATTTTCACAGAACAACTTCTCCCTTATCTGTTATCAATAAAACTTCAACATTTCAATTTCAGCTGTAGAACGAGCATAGACCTCAGGAATGAAATAAAATCATGCGGCTATCCTGGTGCAAAAACTTCCAAAACTACTCATGACAAGACTTCAGCGCATTCATGGATACAGTTGGACATGCAAACACATACAAAAATGAATAATTATTAAGTAATGCATTAACCTACATGAGTATTTCTGTGAAATCAGCACTGAATGTGTGGGTGACCACAGGAATCAGACAAAGTACCAAATCATATCTGTGGTGCTGAAGTTGTTCCATCAGCCTGTAACGGTTCTTCCCTCCGTGAGTGTGTTGAGACCTTACATCTCTACATATAGTTTACAGCTTTCTGTCAACAGCAAATGCACATGACCTGCTATTTTTTTTTTTTAATGCTAAAAATTTGGAAGTTGCAGCAACAACCACACTGACCCGCTTTTTCACTTCTTCTGAATCAATGTCACAGGAATCAACGCAATAGATTGACTCAACATCCTTAAAGCTTTAATCCTCACCCGAGGACATATTACATGCTTCTAAAACAGCTGCCACACTGTTAAAGCAACACACTCCTACTAACCCCATATGATAAAACAGTGACCAGTGTTTAAACCCCCCCCCCCAAAAACCCCCCACAGCAAACACACCTACGAAACTCCCACCATAACAGATAAAAAAAACCAATGACACATTCAGTTCCCCTTTCTTTAAAAAAAAAAAAAAAAAACCCTAAAATGACGTAAAGACAAAATACCCCCAAACTCAAAATTAGAACAATCACAGATTACTTACAAAGTCTGTGAGGGCTGGTACATTCTTTAAAACAAGAGGACTAGTTACATGTAGTAAAACATTTCGAATGATTTGGCTCTGACTGACCCGAACACACACACACACACACACACACACACACACGTGTCCAAACATCTAAAACTGACACGACACCACACACAGCACACACACACACACACACACACACACAAACACACACACACACACACACAATCACACACACACACACACACACACACACGTGTCCAAACATCTAAAACTGAGCAGTGCAGGCCTGCTTTCAAACACAATCACATGAGACAAAAGCAAAACTTCATTAGCATTTGAAGCAGCAACAAGCTGTGATCCATTCATGGACAGTTTCTCCTCTGACCACCTCAAAGCACGCTCAGCCTGACCTTCCCCTTTCAATCAGTAAGCCCGGCACACGTAAACAACAACTTTAAATGTTTATTTTTGTTAACGAGCCGCAAAAATAAAGTGGAATTCTCTGTCTAAACTTAAGAAGCAGTTTAATATTACCTACACTGCAGGTCACTGCAGTGCAACTCTCTGAACATCTGTCTGGCAGCGGTGGCATGCCAGTTAATATTTCACCTATTGAACATGTTCTCTCTGTTGAGAAAGACACAGAAGATGCTAGAAAGCCTTCTCACCATTTCCAGACCCTGTTCTCGCTGTGGCTCGCAGGAGCGTCCTGCAGTACACACTGGTTGAACTTCATAACTGTACACATGTAACGGAGATGCTGCTTCAGGATGACTCAGCTGGAGAACGGGGCTCTGTCGTCGTGGCCCGTTCTGACAAAACACTTCATTCCGCTTCTAACTACTTCCTTGAAAGCTGCACATTATAGCAGCTGAATCAGTTTGCTTCCTGAAGTCCAGTCGCGAGTCAGCCACCGGCAGTCTGAGAGGCTGGAAGTGTCTCCATGCGCTGAAAACAACTAACAACAACAAGCAGCAACGCCACCCCTGCTGATGGATCGTCCGTGGCTATATTTGGCCCAGCGAGGACTTAACACTAAACCTTCCTGTTGCATTCTGCTGCTGAATCAGACCTCTCACTCATCTTAAAGTTGACTTCATCGCAGACTCCACCCACTCTGCTGTACTGAACCCGCCCATTTCTGGGAAGGACCTTCCTTGTCAGACAGGTGTGATTATCTCAAACACTGAAACCACGCTGGTACAACTCGGAGCTCATAGACCTGGTACAATGCAATGAAAGGCCTCTTAGACCAATGGGCATGACAGATGACTAATGTGATCTGTCAGCTTAAGAAAGGAAACAATCAAACACATCAACAGAGCTTTTGTTAGGAAATTATGCAATTCTGGGTTATGGTATTACACCAGGATCTATTTGAACTTCCTCATGCTCTACGGTAAGCAGAGAGAGACTTAAACAATATGGACTTTATTGAGAGGATAAACATTATAGCATAAAAATCACATTTCACACATGATATAATGGGAACCTACAGTGTGACTGTAACAGGAAACACAAATAAGTCACAAACCAAATAAGAAGTTGCCTTCAGACATTAGCTGTCCTTAGTCTCCCCGCTGACATTTTCACATCAGTGTACATTTATATAATTAGAAAAAACTGAGCTGAGTCAAAGTTTATGAATAGTACCTGCTGTAAAATATTTTTGGGGCATTTCTGGGAATCCTTTAGAAAGGTTTTAGTGGAAGATTGAGGATGATCACTAACATTACAGTAAATTTCTATAAAGCAAACAAACATAAAACCCAACTAATTTGAACTCTTCTTATTCTCTGCACGCTTAATTTAGCCCGTTTTTGCAACAGATGCCCTTCCTGACAACCCTAAATGGATTTGTGTCTCCTCCCACAATCACAAATGTGTAAATCACTACACCTGTTCACTGGTATGCTAGTAATGCACACTCTGTTTCTTATCTCTGCTTGTGTGAACTGCTCACGCTTGGTGCATCTCATTGGGCTTTACCTCAAAATAATATATTAAACATATTGTCACTACCATTGGGCCACTCTGGATAATTAAGTAGTTTTGATCACAAGGAATTAAACGTACTTGTAGATTTAATAAAAGGCCAAAATTTGGTTCAATTAAATCTCTACTTAGTGGGAAAAAATTAACATAAGTTCTGATTATGTTTTAGCACATGTAGGCATGACATAAGCACTCTGTGTGCATTCAGCGGTACTTCGGATTTGACTACAGTTGCCTCAGCTCTCGTCTTTCAAGTGGAAGTCAACAAAGCAATGAGGCACAACACAGAACAAAGGGAGTAGCATGGCTGGTCTTCAGAACAATGCACTGTGAAGTTTTCAGGGTGTATTTAGGGTGTCGGGTATCAATGTGGCCACATGTGTCTGCAGTTCCCCGAAACAAGCCGACAATGAGTGAAACAAGGCTGCATCCATCTGCTTTGAGCACTCACAGCCACACCCTTCCACAGAGTGTGATCTAAGAGGCAAGTTTCCAGTTAGGAAGGTCTCAACTGGTGCTACTTTACCTTTAATCACATTTCCTTCTTCCTACTGCCCTAAAGCATAGCACCTACTGGTCACAGCAGCTGAGGGTCCTTAGTAGGTGCAAACATTACACTTGTAAACACTGAATATGTGAAACCAGGTTATCCTGAAAAGAACTACAGTGCAGCCTTTGGAATAAAGATAGTCTGGTTTTGCTACTTTTAACCTGTCGAGCAGCTTTAAGGGAGCTAATCTGCCTGAACAAACGCAGACACTTATGTGATTGATCGAGTCAAGAGATCAACAGTTTGAATGTCAAGACTTTCCTAACTGCAGCACGATGAGTGATCTAGGGCACAATCAAATAAGGTGACTCGTGTATATGACAGTGATGCCACAGTGACTGTAAGAAACAAGTAGTGCTGACGCCTTGAACAACATTATCAAAATATGTTGGATTGCATGCAATCTTTTATGCAGAGAAACTACTGGATTCCTGTACATGAAAGTTGAAAAGGTGATTCATTTGCAAATTGGTGAGCATCCAAGATTTGAGGAAACTTTGGCTTTTTAAAAAAAAAAAGTATCAACAAAAAAAATGACCAAGAGACTGACAGCAGAAAAGATGGACGTAACCACAGCGACATCACCCAATCTGAAGCCTTGACATGATCGGTCCTGCCGCCTTCATCTTTGGTTGCAAACAACAGGATGTGACAAAAAGGGGTAGGAATGACCACAAAGCTCCTACGCTTATTCACTAATGGTTTGTGAGTGATCACCTTTTGGCCAGTGAGTGTGTAGATAACACTATTTCGAAACATAATGACAAGGATTTACAACAAACAGACTTCCTCTCTTTTTTCTTTTTTTTAAAAAATTGAGTGGGACGTTAAACAAGTGACCGAGCCCATAAACTCGCTAGGAAAGTGTTATGTTTTCCCACAGACGTCTATAGGACCACAAAGCTTTTTGCAGCCACAGCTATGACCATTTTTTGACCTTCAGGTAGAATGCAGGTTTAAGACATTTACACTCTGGCTGCCTTTTTTTTTTTTTTAAATTACGGTTTATGCTCGCGTCCATGAAACCAGCCATTACCACAGGAACATAAGAAAAAAAAAAAGAAAAGCATGCTGTTGCAAGTTGTGTTACTAAATAGTCAATTAAAATAATTTTTAATGTTTATGGAGGCTCAAAAAGACACAACGGTCAAACGGTAACAGCTTAAACATAGTGAAAGTGTCACATAGCCAAGCAATTATAAAGTTCAGCAATGTGAAAGGGACCCATAACGCTTCTCTTATTCTGGGTATTGTGCTCAACACACAGGACACAAAGAACAGTGAGGCTGTTTTCAGCCACACGAGAAGAACTGAACAGAAATCATTGTTGATATGCTCAATCTAAACAGTTGTAAAAGTCATTATTCGAACCTTCATGTTCCCTTCTTTCTATTTAACAACGCAACACAGCGTTCTTCGATGCTACATGTTATGTTTAAAGGTAGATGCGCAGCAGGACACTCACTTATCATCCAGACACGGCAACCAAGAAATTTATGAGGCCAAACAATCAAACACTCTTAAGTAGTTAAGGCACATGACCTTAAACCTCAAATAAAGCATGGACTGATCTGAGGTTAAAATAAAAATAAAATAAAAGAATTTTAAAAAAATAATTTCTCAAACCTGCAGCTAGTCTGCACTTTTTGCTTTTCTAAATTTGCATTTCACGGCACACTAAACCCAGCGTGCCTCTGACAGATTTGTCAGACAGATTCAAAAAAAGGAAAGCAGATGCGCTGATGTGATCCAATGTGTGATTATCACGAAGCACCCAACAGACTCATAAACACTAATAACCAAGCTCTGTTTAGAATGAAATCACTGATGACAAATTAATAAATGCCAACACAACAATGAAGAATGATGTTAGTGTAATGCTAAAGCTCATTTTGGATTCAAGGTTCCACTTTAAGCACTGAAACCGGCTGATAAAGACTAGACGTGAAGTACCAAACGATGTGCAACATGCTGCGTTTACACTTGGAAGTTACAAAAGAGGAAATTGGCACATTTACATGGAAGACTTGTTCTCATAAACTGATTATTTCAAAGAAGTGAATGATAATGATTTTTAAGCTGTGTTAACTAGTTTTACAGCAAAATTGCACTGGAGTTCAGAAACAATGGAGCATGTCAGTCATGACGCCGACAGTATTTTTTCTACACTTGTTTCCTCATCCTGGCGTGTCCTGCACAATGTGGACGGCTGATCAAGTTACTGATTAGTTAGTATGCACATGGTCTTCAATCTTGTGCAGAACATTTAGCTAATCATTGTTAAAGGCGTTGGCTAAAAAAAAAAATATATATATTCGGCACGTTGGAGTATGTGCTGCATGTGCACGCGTTCAACGACCTGAGCTCTGAGGAATTTACCTGCTTTTGAAGATCAGCATGAAAACAGCCTCCGAGCATCAAACTCAGCTCAGGCTTTATTCTAGATTTAAAGTAAAACCTGACTCGAAACATGGAAACCTAAAGTGACTGTGTATTAGCAGTCAGCTGTATTAGCCCTGCTTTGCTTGTGTTAAATCTGTCTTAAAGGATTAAAAACAGTTCTACTCTTTCATTTATTTTATTTTTTTAACTGAACAGAAATGCATTTCTGTTTTTTGTTTAAAAAACAAAAACAGAAAAAAAAATTGCTTTTTGTGTAGAGTAGATCTATATGGGTCATTTAAAAAAAGAAAAGAGATCCAACAATAACTGAAATGAATGTGTACTTTATGACACTATGGTGTTGCTTTTATTATCAATACTGAGCCCACAGCACTTCCTTAGTGACAATCACTTATTTCAGATTATTTTTCTTTGTGCCTCTCCAAAAAAGGCCAGAAAAACAGACTCTGCTGCTAGCTTTAGCTAGGCCTTAAAATCATCCAGATCTGAAAGGACTTGCAAAAGTTCAGATGGCACAAGTCTCACCGTGATGCTAAAAAGCTCCTTTATAGCCTTTAACGCTAATTTGACTGCAGCATTTAGACCCATTGTGCTACGAAAACTACACAAGACTGACATGCTAGATTAGCGTCAAAGTTAACTACAGGATTGCATAACTGAAGGTAAAAGAACTGGTCCAAAAGTTGACCACTCATGTCCTTATTGGCTATTGCAAATAAGGACATTAGCAACACTGCTCTTTTCTCTGTTCCAAAACCCTTTACAGGCCCAACCGGATTTCAAAGCAATGACACGATGCTTTGTTGTACAGGTGGGTTTTAATGATGCAAAGACACACTAAACTCACTACTGTTCACTGTACAATGACTCACACTGAAACTAAAGCTTAGGAATGACTTCCAAAGGTGGACAACAATAAAAAAAAAAAAATAAAAAAAAAAAAACTCTCCCTGTTTGACTTACATTACTGCATGTGGGTTCTGGAGCATGCATGCCTTGGGGCCGAATGTCGTCACAGGGCTCGGTCCATGAAGTGATTGAGTCCTCCTAAAAGACAGGATAAAAAAACAAAACATTCACATGTAAACACAGCAAGTAGTTGGGCAAGAACGAAAATGAAGACTCCAAGGCATTATAAAATGATCTCATCTTACTCGAACTGCGCATAAGTTGACCCCACAACCTCTTCTACTGTCATCTGTTCGTTTACAGGAAACTGGAAGCTGAGCTCAAGACCAGACGATGTCACTCACCCTTTGATGCCGATGCTAGTCTCTAGAAATTCCCAAGTTACCAACTCTTTTTGTCAAAGTTTTCACCAAACAAATTACACTTTTAATTTCAGTTTTCAAGACAAAAAAAGAAAATAAGGGGGAAGCGAAACAAAGGCTGTTGGAGACATCTACAAAACAGAAGCGGAAGTTCAGAATTTACAGAATTCACAAATCAGCCGATATTTGCTTATTTTGTGTCTACTTAGCTTCGACACACCACTAGAGTCTCTATTTGTGTCACTGCGTCGATCTGGAAACCTTTCATTTGATAGGTGAAAGTGTAAACTGTGGCGCTACAGCCCAGTGCTTGAAATGTTCTTTGTTCAGATTTAGACTTTTTTGGGGCGTCTGTTTGTCGTAGGTGCAGTGTTAACAGTGCATCGGTGAATTAAGCCCGACAAGCTGTTTTATAAGCCTTACTTATCCACTTACTTACTCTGGAGCTCACAGAAATCTGCTTTCTGCGCAGTGGAAAAAATGAAAATCTTAAGCACCTGTCTGTATTAGGCTTTGTTAACGCATTGTGACTGGAGTGTGGGGTCAAAAGGTCAGCGGTGGCATTCACTGATGGCGCAAACGCAGCCTTCATGCTGAATCACTCAATCAAATCCTCTTAGCCGTCTCACTCTGCGAATGCACCATCTGCCGTTTACGCGCTCTTAAAGCTGCACTGAACGATATTTTCATACAAACATGTAAAGAAACTAACGCGCAACGCCAGAGCCGCTGCTCACACTGACAAAAGCACTGACAGTTATCACCAAGTCTGCAACTCTACAGAGTCTGCTGCTGCTCTTGTTTCGCTCACTGCTTTGGTATTTGTCAGAACGCCAAAAAACTGGAGTCCAATGGGATGATGTGGAGAAAAGGCAAATGTTTTAAAGTGACAGCAGTTCGATCAACGATAAGCAGTCGTGAGCTTGTTTTAGGCTCATTTTCCCCCTCCAGTGGAGAAAAAACAAAAAGTAATGCAACTTTAAGACTTTTACATTCACCAAATGGGCAAAGGAAAAAAGAGAAGAGAAATAAAAAGATGAAGCTCTGACACTAAAGTACAAAAACAGAGTAAAGCTGTGTGTACACTGGATTTGTGGTGGTAGCAACCAGAGAGCATAAAAAGTAAATGGCATTTAGTGACTTCAAGCAACTATGGGCAAAAAGACTGCTCAGGTCAGTCTCAGGTGAGAGACTGACGAGACTACCAATGAGACTTAAGTATATCGTTGATTGACATGTGACCAAACATAAGGCCAGGGGGACAGAATTGGCCTGGAAGGCTTTGGAAGATGCTTTACAGCTTTTCCTACTGACAAAGACCTCCACATGACCACTCATACCACACCAAACTAGTTAAGTGTTAGATAAACAATTAAATAATAGAAAGGTTCTCTATTATAGAAATATATTTTTTTATAGTGGGTCCAAAAAAAATTCTGTGAATTAACCAAAACCGAGACTTGCTGCTAAAACTGTACTTGACCTCTGACTAAATGTTTAGTTAAAGGGCAGTTTCACTGGTCCGGCCCACTTGAGATCTAAATGAGCTGTATCTGACCCACAATGTAAAATGAGTTTGACATCCTTGCATTAGACGGTCACCTAGGTTACCAGAGCCTACAACGTCCCCAAGCAACCAGCTGTGTACGTAAGCTTTACTTCTGCGTAACTTCTCGAGCAATCTGAGAATGTATCAATATTTCAGTCCAGCACTGGATCACAGAAGATATTGTATTGTGTTGTATTAGTAAAATAATACACAGATATCAAACTGTGATCCGCTTATCGTAAGCTCTGGTTTTATTGTAAGCTTTTAACTAAACTCACGTTAGTTACTTTTCAGCCAAGGAGGTCCACTTCACTTTTTGCTTTGCTACAATGAAAGGGGTCCTTTCCCAATTAGGATAAATTCCTCCTAAATCTTAATGCTTCTGAAAAAAACCTTGCAACATGAACAGTTAGCAAACCAAAGAGGTTTTAAACATCCTGTTTCCGTGAAGTCAGATACCCACACAAATCCATTTCACAAAAGTCTCAGCTGCTGCAACTGTGATTGTGTCTCAACATTTTCCAATCTGCTTACAAGGTGGTAGCGCAGTAATGCAATCAGGTTAACCGATTGCATTACTGGACTATAGTCATGGCAACATGGACCATTTAAAAAAAAGAAAAAAAACATCTGGATGTTTCAGGCTGAACACTTGGCATCGTTACATGTAGCGGGCCTCTTCGTGGCTGTTTGTACCTGTGTATGTGTGTGACAGAGTTACTGCAAATTTAGTGAGCAGCAATGAATTAATATCTTGACCTTTATAGCAACGCTCTGTATGAAAGTGAGCTGACCAACTGGACAACAACTTAAAGCATATTGTAAAACCAGCAAGCCCTGGTTTGTTTGCTTAAAGGTTAGTCTGCACCAGGGTCACATCTCTGATAAGCAGGAGGTTTTGACCAGTGAATCAGCAATTTTTCACTCACACTCACACGACCATAACCCTAAGGAAAGATAAAAACGAGGGGTTGAAGTTATAAGTAATACTATTCTTCTGACTTTGCACTTTAAACATGGCTCATTACCACCTTAAAAAAAAAAAAGAAAAGAAAAAGATAAAATCAAGTTTCATGTGTGGACAACTGCTTTACCTGTATTCAAAGGAGGTGCTGGCTGAGGAAGTGCTCAAGCTGCGGACTTTTCTGTTTCTTCGAGTCAGGTTGCGGGCAGGCACCTCCCCTCCATCACAGGTGGAGCAGGAGTATGGGGCAGATTCCACTCGCACGTCCTTTCCGCCCTCCATCTCACACAGCCAGGCTGGAGGTAAACTGACATGACACAGCAATCTTTCGTGAGTAGAGCGATCAGGTGTCACGCAAAGTGGTGACACCTGATCTGTATCTGTATAATATACAGGATATAAACTGCGACAAAGGAATGAAAACTAAGTGACAATAAATGCTGGGCGATGACGCACAACTGTGTGAGGCTGGTCGAAGATGATTTTCAAAGCCTTTTGTTCAAGTTATTTTGAATGTGGGAAAAATACAACAGTATGTATGTTTCTCACAATCGGCTCAGAATCAAAAGAAATGTGCCAATTTATGTATTCATCCCCACTGACACCCAAAGAAAATGATCACACAAAAGAGCTGCTGAAATAACATTTAATCGCAGCCTTAACAGATACAGGGACTATAGCATAAGAACTTAAAAATAAACTATAGCTAGTAATATTTACCTAGTGAAAGAGCTGGCAAAGTTGCACACATAAAATCTATTTGTTCTTCAATTGCTAAATGCCAATTTTTTTACTTTGCGCCCTCTCCCCTCAATCACACTCCTCCCATGAGGTGCATCAACAGCAATGAGTTTGTCCTGATCTGCTCACTCTGTTCATTAACACCCTAGCAACCATTAATCAGCTCAGCTGGCAGAAACAACCCCGGCTCAGTGTATTGGCTGCATGCGCCAAACTTCATGTAATAAAACCAGCTTTTGTACTGATGGTCCAAAAGAGGCAAAAACTTACAGAACATCATTCCAACTATTATATACATAAAGAAAACACGAGCGAGTCTACAGCTCGGGTCACATAAAATCTACTGACGCGCTCAAATATTTCTATTCATTTTATTTCTATCGATCTTACAGATTACATTTCCCAGTAACCGGCGTTCACCAAATTACACAAGGGTTACTATGCACTCTTTTCTAAGTCGATATTAAATTGAAATAAAAGTTTTTGTCCAAACAGTAAAAACTTCAACTTATGCCAAAATTAAGCTTCAACTAAATTATATTGGCTAAAGTTTTTTCCTTACCGTCAGCCAGCTAGAGAAAAAGATGCAACCTAGCTTACACAGGTTAATGTTTATCTTGCGCTTAACAGCCTCGTCTTTGTTCTCTTTGTGATTTATCACTTTTCTAATGGTCGAACTGTCCCGTGTGGTCTACAACAGGACCTCCACCGACTTGCCTGACTATATAAACGGATGAATGGTGGTGACCACAGATATATCCCCGGTTAGGCAACTGAGCTAGTTCCCAAGCTAAGCTAGCAGTTAGCCGTCCTGATCACAGAGCGTCACATCATCCAGCTACCTTTTTACTCACAACGTCACGGGAGACGACGCAAATCTGGCGCGCGGCAAAATCCCGCAGGATCAGAACTTCACCATTATTATTCGCTTTAATAATAATATAGTTACACCATCTCACTACTCAGGAATCAACAATCGCCTCGCAACTTCCTCATACTGACCAGCCAATCACGGGCTCCCTCTGCGCCGACGTCATATTGGACTACCACTCCAGGCTGCAGCACCACAGGTTATATATACAGCATTCAGATTATATCACAGGACCAAACTACATTGTAGGTAAAAAAATTATACGGCAAAGACATAAAGATATAGCTGCTGCATGAATTAAGGGATTATTTTGGATCAATGATTCCACTAAAGCCTCCAGCCTTAAGTTCCTATCACCCCTCATAATGATTAAACCGCAAAATAACCTTTATTCCGCTTTATTCTGTTTCTTTCCATTAAACAGTACTGTGCGGGAAAAAACATCCTTCATTTCTTTTATATTTTCCTTACAAGGAACTAGACTCTCCTTGTCATTTTTGAAAATGGTCTTTAGCAATAGTTCTGG